GCTTTCGCCTCCCTCGGGCTGAACTAGTTTCTGTCACAACAGCACCCCGTTCAGCAAGCTGTTCGGAGAACCATGAACAGGCATAGACACCCGGAGCACCAACGCTGCATGATCAGGCACATGGCCGGCATGGCACACCTCTCGCAGTCTAAAACACGAGCACGGCACGGCACATGTAGCAGGCTGACTACCTACCAGACCACCCCAACCCGACCCGAAGACCCGATGTTCGGGTTGGGGGGGTACGGGCTGGAATGGGTTGTTGTCGATGTTCCCCGACCCCGCCCACACTGGAAATGGAGGGCAAATCGTGGCCTTCGGGTTGGGCTGAGGTGGTTTGATGGGCGGTGACAGGCACAACACTGCACGGCATACTTTGCGCATTCTGGACCGCACGCCCGGTGCAGCACGGCTTGGCACGTAGGCGCGGCACGCCACGGCACACAGAACACAGGAACGGCTCGGCACTGCACGAATTGCAGAACGCAGGCATGGCACGGCACGGCACGGCACAGCACGCAGGAACGGCACCGGGCACGGCACATTCTTCGAATTCTACAGCGCGGGCACGGCACGGCATGGCACGCGCAAGCGCGGCACGGCCCGGCACGGCACCCTGCTCGGCTCTACGCCCAGGCACAACACGGCACGGCACGGGCAAGAGACGGCACGGCCCTCCGGCGGCACGCTTTCGAAGTTAAGAAGGCAGCTCTCTGCGATCCTACGACAGCTGAGAGCCCTGATCCGCCCGACCGCCCCGACGGGCCGCCAATCGCGTGCTTGCGCCATGCGCAGGAAGATGCTATCCTGCTGAGGTGTGCAAGCGGTGGCCATGTTGGAACGGAAAATGCGAGTGGCCGTTCCGTCTATTACCAGCTGGGGGGGGTGCACGAAAGTGACGGACACCCCCGCCCGAAAGCTTTCTGAACCGACCTAAAATACACACGAACTAGATGGGCTGATTCTTGCGCGTCCAACCGTATGCCCAAAATGGTAGCGCGCAGACGGCATGCTACCAGCGCATGAAGTGACATATTCTAGGACACCCCGGTAGGACCATAACCTATACGCCCTGAATAGCAGAGCAGCAACACGAAGCGATGGTGTGTACATGTGAACCCTGGACGACTCTCTTGCTTCCTTCTTGTTCACATGGAAGCATCCCAAATTGGGACAGAGCTGATGGGATCAGAGGACCGCGCCGCATCGCCAATGCATCGCCGATTCATCGGCGATGCACCTGCAGCGCGGGCGATGCGTTGGCGCCGTGGCCGTGGGCAGAATAGGGTTCCACATCCCACCGCACCGTCGATGCATCGGCGATGCTGCGCGACCCTTTGACTCGTTTCGCCCCGGCATCATTCGGAAGGCCTGAATCGAAGTGCAGGCCCTCCTCCTCCTCCTCCTCCTCCTCCTCCTCCTCTTCCTCTTCCTCCTCCTCCTGCTCCTGCTCCTGCTCCTCCTCCTCCTTCTCCTCCTCCTCCCTCCTCGTCCTCCTCCAACTCTCCTTCTCCTCCTCCTCCTCCTCCTCCTCCTCCTCCTCCTCCTCCTCCTCCTCCTCCTCCTCCTCCTCCTCCTCCTCCTCCTCCTCCTCCTCCTCCTCCTCCTCCTCCTCCTCCTCCTCCTCCTCCTCCTCCTCCTCCCTCCCAGCCTCGACCTTCAGGCGGACCGCACCTCTGGCTTGCTCGCGCCGACAGCCTCTGGATGCAGCCAGGCGCAGCCGCCGCAGCCGCGAGGCCTGGAGCCTAGAGCTCACTACGCGCGGGACCTGGCGCCTTGTGGACTCGCCTGCGGGGGGCAGCGGCCGAGACATAAGAAGAGAGCCTTCTCCTCCTCCTCCCCTCCACATCATCATACACCTCCCCCACCTGCACCATCTCCTCCACATCATCATACACCTGCTCCATCTCCTCCACCTCCACCCCGTCCTCCTCCTTCTCCTCCTCCTCCTCCTCCTCCCCCTCCTCCTCCTCCTCCCCGTATTCTTCTTCGTAGTACTCTTCTTCTTCGTCGTCGTCGTACTATGCTCAGTCTTATCGTGCATATTATTAGTACGCTTCGTCTTCGTATTCCTCCTCCTCCTCCTCCTTCTCATCCTGCTCCGCCTCCTCCTCCTCATCCTCCTCTTCTCCTGC